AATACATCAACTAGTAGAAAATAATTTAAACAATATTCTCCAAACATAGTAAAACATTTTTTAAAAAATAATTTTTAAAAACTATAATTTATTTTATTAAAAATATTTTAAAAAAATATTTTCAATAAAACAAACTTATTAACCTTAATTTCATGCCAATTTTTACGGTCCAAGACTGCAAATACAATAATCAATCATTGTTAAGAATAAACAAAATCTTAAAAGGAGAGCTGCTAAAGCATGTGAAATGAGAGAGAGAGGGACCGACAAAGAAAAAGAAAGAAACAAAGTAAACAGTGTCGGGATTCCCTGTAATCTTTTTGACAAAGACGAGCAAAAATGATAAAAAGGAGCGTCGGACAGGCAATTTAATATGTATTTTATATTATATTTAATTGGGGTTTACTTTTTTACATTTTAATATATAAGCTATAATAAATTATTTTTATTAAATAACTTTTAATCATCTGCGTGATTTTATTTAAATAAAAATAAATATTTTTTATTGATCTTTCTACTTTAAATTTAAAAATATATTAATTCTTTTATATTTATATAAATTATTTTTAAAACTTATAATAATAATTAAATTTTTATTTTATGTAATTAGTTGTTTATTAAAATGTGACATAGCAGTGCATTCATTGAAAACCTTTATGAGTCTGTCCTTTTGTGTGTGCGCGCGCTTAATGATTTTATGGCGGGCCCCAGTTTCAACTGACAGCGCAAAAGGATATGGCTGTAAACGAGTCGATTCCGAGTATTATTGACCTCCTCTATTAGGTTCGAAAACTTTGAAATATAACTGGATTCGACTTGAAAACGTATGAATCTAAAATTTTAAAGTTTGATTGAACCAGAAATTATAAAATAAAATTAGTAAAAGTTTAAAATGAAAAAATCTTAAACTTATTTTAATTAAATTTTAAACTCAAATCTGAACCTTAAATGTATGAAAATCTTATATTATATTTTTTAAAAAATCAATACATAAATATTAATATTAATAATAATATATTTAAAAAATAAAATTTTAATATATTATATTTTCGAGATCCTCACGAGTTTTTTGAGTTAAGTATCAAGTAGTTCATTTCGACTCATTACTCAAATCAACCTCGAATTAAAGTTGAGTCTATTCGAATCTAGTATTTATTAAGTTTTGATCGAATCAATCTCAAATAATACGTAATCTATCTCGTCTCATTTACCACCCTAATCAGAAGAGTTCATACTTCATACTGTCAATGTGTTCGGTGGAAATATATATTTTTTGTTTTTAAAAATATATTTAATAAAATAATTCATCCATTATTTAATATTATTAAAATATGATTCGTATTTTTCACGTTTTTCAATTTCAGTTTTTTAACGATTAACATAAAATTCAATAATTGAAAATTCAACTAAAGAAGAAGGAGAACCCCTGATGTTATTTTATTTAAGGGGGATCAGGTCGTGGGGCAAATAATTTGCATTTTCTCAAGTCAATATTTTAGTATTTATTTATAAGTCTTTCAACATTTTCTTTGTTTATTTTACTCATTAATAATAGGGTAAATTATGCATTTAATACTTAAATTATTAATTTTGATCTATTTAGCACCTAAGCGTTTAATTTTTTAAAATCATACCTAACGTTTAGTTTTTGTTTCATTTTAGTACATCACCATTAAAAACTTAATGCATTTAATACCTAAACTATCAATTTTTTCCCGTTTTAGTACCTAAATTTTCAAAAAAAAAATTAAAACTTAATGTTAAGTTTTTAACAAGGTGCTAAAATGAAATAAAAACTAAACTTTAGGTATATTTTGAAAAAAAATTAAAAGTTTAGGTACTAAAATTATTCAAAACTAATAGTTTAGGTACTAAACGCATAATTTACCCTAGATAATAAAACTCAATGTTGTTCATCGATTGCGTATAAAGATTAGGGTAAAGTAGATACATGGTCTCCCAACTATAAGGTCTTGTTTTATTGAGTCTTATGATTATTAAAAGTTACAAATTAATCCCCTGATTATGGGATGTTGCTTTGTTGAGTCCCTTGACGATTAAAAGTTAAAAAAAATGATCCCCAACTATTTATATATTCCAAACGTATCCTTTTTCATTAAAAATTTGGCGACCGTCGAAACTGGAAATTAATTTGTTGATTGGGATATAATAAAATCTGATCCCACAATCTTTTGAGTTGTATTTTGTGAATCGTCTTTCCGTTTACATTATGTCATCATGCCAGTGCTTGAAACATTACAACATTGATCTAGTGCTTGAAAGAAAAATTGGTGCTAATACATATCATTAAAATATAATTTTATCATATCTTAATGAGCAAATTAATATTCAACTCAGATGACCGACAATTTTTTAATTAAAAAGAACAAATTCAGAATATATAAATAGTCAAGCGACTATTTTATAACTTTTAATAGTCGAAATACTCAACAGAATAATATCTTATAGATTATAGTCTTACAATTGATCAAAATATACATTTCCCAAATAAAGTTTGGGATTCCCATGCATATAAAAACTGATTGAATTCGGCAGCCCATCAATTCAGATGCGGTTTGCTGAGGGTACAATTGTAGGGGACCAATGTCACGGATTTGATGAGTTTCTCTGCTCATATCACATGAAGCTTAAAACCTCCATCTACTTCTGCTATTTGCTTAGCCCCTCTCATCGGTGCCCGAGTTATGATATGGTTCAGGGCAGTTGTCTCTCTAATTTTTTTAATTAAAAAATATATAAAGATATTATTAATTTTAAATTTACCTATTATTTTTAGGCTTAATACCAAAACAAGTGCCCAAAATATACCTAAATTCTCAAATAGGCGCCTAAACTATTTTTTGACCCATCCAGGTGCCTAAAGTTACAAACGTTACTCATTTAGATATCCAAGCTATCAATGATGTTAATTTCACTCGTTAAGTGACACGTGTCACAATATAGTATTTAAAAAATTATCAAAAAAATTATTATATTTATAAAAAAACCCTAATTTCTTTTAAATTATAAAAAAGCTCCAAAATACCTAAAATTCCCAAATCCTATCCTTAAACCCCCCGCCCTTTCGGACCACGACCACCGTCGCCGACATAGTCTCTGCCATCCTCCTAGTTATAAGTTGTCGATTGGTCGTCGAGATCACGTGGGATCGCAATTTTCATCCTAGGGTTCACGGGGTATAAAACATTGATTAGCCATTGATCGACTATCAATGGATCACGATTTCATGGGGGTTTGGGTCGTCGGGGGCAGATGAGGTCGGGTGGACCTTCGTCGACGACAAAGGTAGATGGTCGACATGGGTTTAGGGGTTGAAATTAAGGTTTTCAAAGTTTTTGGGGTTATTTCAACATGTCTATGTTTTTCTTTAATATATATATATATATAATTTTATTTTTTGTAATTTTAAATAAAATTTTTAAAATATCAAATTGTGACACATGTCACTTAACGGGAAAATTAATGTCGTTGACGGCCCGGGCACCTAAATGGGCAACGTTTGTAATATTAGGCACCTAGATGAGTCAAAAAATAGTTTAGGCAGCTATTTGAGAATTTAGGTATAGTTTGGGCCCTTATTTTAGTATTAAGCCTTATTTTTATAATTATTTATACTTTATCACATAAATTAAATTTTAATTTCGTCCATATTTATTATATTATTTGTTTATTATATAATTAAATGACCCCGAATTTTAGGAGAGCTATTACTTTCTAATCTTTTACCAAATATCATGTCCTAGGCACCGCGTTGGCCAAGTTCTAAAAGGAAATTTGGATAAAATATTTGGTCTTTTAAAGAGGAATAATAATTCATGTTTGATGCATGTTAAAGTATGGATATGAAAATATGGAAATTTTTAACAGTTTAAGATGATTACAAAATAGTATATATTTAGAATTTCTTTGACTATTGACAATATATACACATCATATGGACATTAATTTTCTTTAACTATCGACAACACAAACATACACTTTTAAAAATATAGTTTACTCTTATCTTGGTACCAATGACATATGATATCATCTGATTCAATTTTAATTTATTAAAATTAAGAGCAAATTGACATAATATGTAAGAAATAGTGACTAAATACGTAATTATATTAAATTTTTTAATTGTCATATCACCTCTTTTGTTAAAAATTAACGGTTAGTGACTTGATTGGAGTATTTAAATAGTTAGAAGTTTTGATTGATAAAATCAAAATATTAATGGTCAAACGGAAAAGAGAACAATAGTTGAGTGGTCATATGAGTAGTTTACCCTAGATAAAATGAGGTTGGGATTAGTTAAAAGTTGAAACCAATAGGAAAGGAAGATGGTAGTGAGTTGATGGATGTTTTAAATTTCTAGTGTGAATAAAGGTTAGTTGTGGAACGTTGAAAATAGAGTATTTCAAGTGAAGCCATGGTGGCCTTTGCTTTGATAAACTTGTTTCTTGGTTCAATGCCTAGCATCGCCCGTGAGTGTAACTAGGGACATGTATTTGAATGTGACTTGACGAGTTTCGACTACAAATTTTATCATGTCCGTTTTATTTTTTTTTAAGAAAATAGTAACTACTCAAATGATCACTTAATTATAGAATTAGATATGATAATTCTACTTTTAATTCTAGTAATATGATGATATAGTTATTTAAGTGGTTCTACTGTATCCACTTGTCATTACAAAATAAATAGTGTAGTTGATGTGGAGTTTTGACTCATCGTTAATCAAATAACAATCACATTAACTATACGTTTATTTTTAACAATAAATGATTACATTGAAATCACTTGAATAACTATGTGATAATATTTTCAAAATCATGACATCCTTATTGAGGCACTGATTCTCTTCCCCCACCCACCAAAAAAAAATATAGTTAGACTACAACTTTCATGGGGATACAAGACACAAGTAATGGTCGAAATTTGATCTTTTCCTTTTCCCCTTTTTCTAGCTTTTGCACTTTAGTCCCAATAATTTTCTTTTATTCTTACATCCCTAGCCTCCTCTAACCCCCCGTAATTTTCTTTCTCTGAATAGTATACTCTTGGAAGCATCCTAAGCTAGGCGTTTTAATCGAGCAAATAGAAAATGTTTCATCCCTCGGAGATTAGCATGTCCTTTACTTCCAGATAGGAGATTCCTCTGTCTCTGTTTCTCTCTTGTTTCCCCCTAATTATACACTGCAAAAAGCTCAATTTACTTACAGTTGAAACATTACAACGTCAGCCATTTTTATTGTCTTGAACCATTGTAAGCCAAGTACCATTCATCATTTTACCAACTTCACTTCTGGTATTTTCTCTGCAAAAAAAAACCAGCTTTTGCTTTCAATATGAATGTTTAGACTAATACTCAAAATCAGCAGCAGAAGAAGAAGCCATGGGCTTAAAGAGGAGCATTTTCCATTGCTTAACCTTCCTTCTTGTTCTGCTTCCTTCACCACTAGCTCTCAACACCGATGGAGTCCTCTTGCTGTCTTTCAAAGATGCCATCCTGGGTGACCCTTCATCAGTCCTGCAAAGCTGGAACCATGACGATGAAACGCCATGTGCATGGACTGGAGTGACCTGCACTGAGCTTGCGATTCCGGGAACACCAGACCTGTTAAGGGTCACCAGCTTGGTCCTCCCCAACAGCCAACTCGTCGGTCCGATTTCAGAAGAACTTGGCCGTATTCAACACCTTCGCCACTTGGATCTGTCGAGCAACGTTTTGAATGGAACTTTACCAAGCTCCATCTTTAACTCGACTGAGCTTCAGGTACTCTCTTTGTCCCGTAATGTCATCTCTGGTCCGTTGCCACAGTCTATTGGTGTCATGGCTAGTCTTCAGCTCTTGAATCTCTCTGATAATGCCTTGTCTGGGAAGGTACCCCAAAACTTGACAGCTTTGCAGAACTTAACTGTTGTGTCTTTAAAGGGCAACCATTTCTCGGGTAATATACCTAGAGGTTTCGATTCGGTTCAAGTTTTTGATCTGTCATCGAACCTGCTTAACGGTTCTCTCCCTTTGGATTTTGGTGGCCGTAGTTTGCATTATTTGAACTTGTCGTACAACAAGATTTCAGGGCAAATATCACCGGAGTTTGCAAATCGGCTTCCTCAGAATGTCACCATTGATCTTTCATTCAATAATTTAACAGGCCAAATTCCAGAGTCTCTATCTATGCTTAATCAAAAATAGACTTCTTTTCGGGTAATGCTGATCTATGTGGGAAGCCATTGAAAACCATTTGCTCGGTTCCTTCGACGCTTTCGAATCCACCAAATATGTCCCAATCCATATCACCAGCAATTGCAGTGATACCAAACTCGATTGTCTCAACCCCGGCTGCAGGCTCGTCACCTGGAGAACCAATCCGACATCGAGGAAGGGGCACTCTAAAGCCAGGCACAATAGCAGCCATAGCTGTTGCAGATTTAGCTGGTATATCCATTCTCGGCATGATCATTCTTTACGTTTATCAACTCAAGAAGCGAAAAGATCATCTCAATCAGCGCACTGTCGATAAAAAACCGGAAGCCATGGTTTCGAAAACGCACGTCGAATTAGGAACAATAATGCCATCACCATCATGTTCATGCATGAAGTTAAAACTCACGGAGACATGGGAGACTTCCACTTCTGACAGTGACCAGCAGGAGAAAAATGAAGTCATGAATGTGAACCAGAAAGGAGGAGGGGGAAGCAAGCTGGTGACAGTGGATGGGGAAACTGAGCTGGAGTTAGAGACATTGTTGAAGGCATCGGCGTATGTTTTGGGGACGAGCGGGTTGAGCATTGTTTACAAGGCTGTGCTGGAGAACGGGACTGCATTTGCTGTAAGAAGGATAGGAGAGAGTTCAGTGAAGAGGTTAAAGGATTTTGAAAGCCAAGTTAGGATGATAGCCAAGTTAAGGCACCCAAATTTGGTTAAGATCCGTGGGTTTTACTGGGGAGATACTGAGAAGCTTGTTATCTATGATTATGTCTCCAATGGCAGCCTCTCTTGCACCACTGCTTACAGTAAGTTCCCATATCTCTACTTTTCCCATCATGTTCATATTAGCAGCAAAATTGTTGACATGATTTAGATCTGTGAAAACCAGGAAGATCAGGCTCATCATCACCATGCCATTTGCCTCTTGAAGCCCGTCTTAAAATAGCAAGAGGAGTTGCTCGGGGACTGGCCTACATTCATGAAAAGAAGCAAGTTCATGGCAACATCAAACCAAGCAACGTCCTTTTAAACTCCAATATGGAGCCCTTAATCAGTGATCTGGGACTAGACCGCCTTGTCTCTCAAAACGGTGCCGGCTGTAAAATAAACAATTCGTCGTCACTGAGGTTTTTAAGCAGCCAGCGGTCCACGGCTTCTCGTGATGGTGACCCAGTCGACCCACCAACAAGTCCAAGCCACCAACGGTCCACCTCTTCCGCACCATATCAAGCACAAGAATCGTTAAAGAGCCTCAAGCCGAACCCCAAATGGGATGTCTACTCATTTGGGGTGATTTTGCTCGAGCTTCTCAGTGGGAGAGCGTTGTCAGCCAGGGAGTTGGTGGAGCAATGGGCGGTGCCGGCAGGTTCATCTGGGGAAGAAAAGAACCGGGCGCTCTGGTTGGCTGACACGGCTATAAAAGGTGACTTGGAATGCAAGGAAGACGCCATTCTGAAGTGTTTCAGGTTAGGGTTTAGTTGTACATCAGTTGTGCCCCAAAAGAGACCCTCCATGAAAGAAGTGGTTCAAATTCTTGAAAAAATGGCCTCGGCTTCTTCCACTGAACGCTGCTAATTAAACACTTTTGTTGACTTAAATGCTTTGCAAAGTTTGCATAATTAAGGAGACTAGATAGACCTTTGAGCGTTGATAGTAATAAATATTAACAGGGTTACACATTAAGTATGAGCTAAGTTTTCTTCTTGTACTGCTTCTACTATAATCAAAGGAGGCGTATGGAATCAGAGATTCTTAAAAGATTTTTCACCGACAAGATTTTAATCGGTCTAAGTTTTATTAACTATTTTCACTACCTTCCACCTATACAAGTTTCTAGACATCAAGTCTTCGAGCGTGATTGATAATTCGTAGATCACCCATAGTTCAGCTAAAAGAACAATTTACTTTTTAATAAGATGAAGAAATAGATTGTCTGAAATTTAAATCGAATCTAATGTTACCTAGGATTAAAAAGAACCAACACACGTTAACACAAAATAACTTATTTAAGAATTAAAGTTTTGATTTTAAAAAATAAATAAATAACTTTTTATAATTTAAAATTAAAATATTTTGAGAAGAGTAATATCATTTATAAAATTATTTATATCAATATTCATTCAAATATAATTATTATATTATTTTTAAAATTTTAATAAATATTATATTTATATTTAGACATCAAACATCTAATTAAAAAAATTTAATTGAGAATAAAATTTATAATTTAAAATTTAATTTTTCACTAAATAGGTTGCACCATAAACTTTTCATAATAGATCAATACAAAATTTATGTCACAAAATCTAATATGTCTTATAGGTTTAAGGAAAATTGTCATCCATAATTGATAGTGTAATTTAAAACATTAAATGTTTGAAAGTTGAACTTTAACCTAGATGATAAGTTTGACAAACAAAAATATATTTTTTCTTATATGAATATATAAATAATTTTATATATACTTAATTGGACTCATACTTAACTCAACCCGTATTTACCCGAAAATCTAAAGATAGACCCAAATCAAAACATATCAATCTGATATTAACCTGACTCAAAAATCAACTGATATGGTATTGACTGGACTCGAAAACCAATTGATCTGATATTGACCAGACCCGACCCGAAAACCAACCGATCTAAGTTTTACCCTGTCCGATATCCGACCCGAAAACCAACCGATATGAGTTTTACCTTGCCCGATACCCGACCCGTTATGACTTACCATAGACATGAATTAAAACCAAACCCAAAATGACCTGACTCACCCCGGACCCAGACCTGATCGGAATCAAGTTTCAACCAGAAATGACCCGACCTAAACCTTTCGAATGACTCGTTTCGACTCGTGCCCGTTAAAAAATTTTATTGCTCGACTCAACTCATTGCTCATTAAGCTCGTTAAAATTTTGCTCAACTCGTGCTTGTTAAAACAATTGCTACTCTTTAAGCTCGTTGGTCATTATGCTCGTTACTCGGCTCGTTGCTCGTCTTCTTACTCGTTAAGCTCATCAAAATTAATAAATTTAACCTTGTTTTCTAAACTATAAGTAAAATCTATTAATATTATATAGAGCTTAAAATAAACATATATTAATAAATTTAACCAAAAATTATCAAAAGAGTGTATGAAGTAATTTCAAAGTCTAAACTCTAAAGTAACAATCCAAAAATATATTAAAATAATAACTAGGCTTGATTTTTGGGTGTAGTAAAATATTAATTAATAGTTTAGTATTTTTTGTATTTTATTGTAAAATTAATAGATTACCAATTTATCATATTTTTATAATCTATTAGTAAATTAGTAATTTTTTTGAATAAAAATATTTTTATAAGATAACTACTAGAAAATTATATATACAAAAAATAAATGAGTTGCTCGTGAACTTATCGAATCAAATTGAATTTTGTTCGACTTAACTCGTTAAGGTCTCGAGTCGAGCTCAAGTTCAAATTAATTCAATTCAAGCTTTTATTAAATTTTGACCAAGTCAAGTTCGAACTGTTCAATTCATTAAGCACCTCTAGTCTGTGAAGCCCGTTTACAATTTTCATTAAAAATACTCAACCAATTTATATTTAACAAATGTCCTAATTTTAATTTCCTTTAGAATATTTTTTAAAAAATCAATAAATTTAAAAAAATCCCTCAATTTTTCTTATTTTTCAAAAATTACCCAAAAATTTATAGAGCCTCATGCAGCTCCCACACACGGACAAACTGCTAGCCATCATCATCGTCAGCCACCATCACCCATCCGTCGGCCACCATTACCCACCCACCTAATGAGCCCATCCACACTTTCGTGGATTGTAATTTGAAATTTGAAATTTGAAATTTGCAAATTGTTTAGCTACGCAAATTGCAAATTAATTTGCGACCACCATCCACTCAACCAACAGCGGTGAATCCACGTAGCAGCAACAGTGACAAGCAGATTCTCCTTGCTAGTAACAACGACGAGACCCAAGATTGCATTCTAATTAAGAATTACAAATTTGGGTATTAAGATATAGAGATTTGAATATGAGATTTAGAGATTTGGGGCAATAATAAGGGGATGTCCGACAATGGAGGTTAGACAATGGATGGATAGGCAACCGGAGGCAGCAAGACGATAGGGGCCGACGAAGGATTGATGCTTTGGAATTAAGAATTTTGAGATTTTTTTAAGGTTTTTGATTTTTTAATAATATAATAATTTTAAAATAATTTTTTCAAAAATTTATAAATACAATGTTTTTTTTAGTGGTTGATGAAATTTTTTAATGTCTGTACGACTGAAAAAAATTAGACGAAAAGAAATATATTTTAGACATTTTTTGTATTGAACCTTAATCTAATGCATAATCACTACCGAGCTCATACTATCATAATTATATATATGTGTGTACGTATGTTATAGTCTGATGTTAAATGGGCATGGTTATGTTGGGGTAGATCATTGAAAGATGATCGGTTGATTAATCATCTTTATTTTCAATAGGAGTTGAAGAATGAAGAGCCATCATTGAAAACCTTGCTTCATGTCGACTGCTTACTACAATATGTTAGAAACTTTGATACTCCCAAGAGAAAAAAGAAGAGGGTTTGCTTCTTATGTACATTAAAATATTATTTTGTAAACTACTCATCTCTTCTACCATTCGAATGATCTGGAGACGTGATTAAGTACTTTGAGCTCTTACTTTTATTCAATTATATTATCTTTGGTAAGTTATTTGCATGTGAGAGGAAAAAACAACATAAATTAAAGAAATTTATCGGATCAAATTGTAACTTTTTTTCTTTTTATCAAAAGAGAAGAAACAGCATCCTAGGTAGCATGAGATTAGGAAATAACATGAGATTTAATTGAATCCATTCAACTATATTCATACGGAAAAATTTATCCATTAGATTCGGCTTGATTATCTCATTGCAGGTTGCACGAGCTGCCAAACATTCGTACAGGATGTGCGAGATAGATTCCACACTTGTACCACAAATCAGTGACGGATCTAAAAATTAAAAATAGGGGTCCAAAATTTTAATATTTTAGTTTCTAAAAAATTTAAGTACGTAAAATTTAGGAATGTAAATTTAGTAATTTTCTCACAATAATGGGTATGCAAAATTTAGTAATATTCTCAAAATAATGGGTAAGTAATTGCTCCCTATGTAAAACCCCTTTCCCGTATTCAACCCCGAACACGAGTCAAAGATGTCACAAAACATTAGGAGACAATCTACATTTGAAAACTGGTAAAATTTTGTTTCTTTCAAAAGTTTACAATTCTTAGCTTTTATTGTAAAATAATTTTTCATATAAAAAATATATAATAATATTCTGACCTCTATTTAAAATTCAGTTTCAGGCAACAACTAGACAGTTCTATTCTTTTTCATATCATAAATAAAACTATCCAAAAACCATCTGATTTAAAATTCAATTACTTAATATTTAATACTACCCATACTTATAATTTATAGACATTTCTTACTCATATACATGCCAGCTAGAAACTTTAGAACACGATAGGATGTCATCACTGTTACCTGAAAATATTCCTCAATGTTTTTGTAAATTAGGACATGCTTTGATTATCATATGTTATCATTTATTTGCATGATTTGATATCATTCATTTGCATGATTTTACTTGTGCATGAATTTTCATGAGTATTAATAATTTGGTTGTCGTAACTTGCATCATTCATTCACTAAAACAAATTTATCAATTTATGATGAAATTTCGGTATGAGGTTATGTATAATGTCACAAAATATACTATAAAACAAATATATTTTATAATAATTTTAATAAATGTCATCGATTTTCGTCGCTATATGTTTGGAGCCAAAATTGCCTTAAGATTTTTTGGTGGGAAACCTTTCATTGATGTTTAGATAAAATGATGACGTTGTGAATTTGTCACAATTGAAATGAAAGTATCAGTTACAAATTATTATTATGATCTAATTTGAAGTAGTGACATTGAAAATTTGTCACCAATACAATTTATTTTTGACAATTTGATTTGTCATATTTTACAAGACATAAAATGTGACGTTTTAACGTGCCACAAAAAATAGGTTTAATGTGACAAACAATTATTTGTCACAATTTCTTATCTTTTATACGTCAGTTATAAAAGACATCATGAGCTCATGATTTTTTAGAAATTTAAAGTCATTAATTTGAATTATAGACTTATCAAGGATTGAACCTTTAATTTTATCCTTTTTGACTTATATTTTAAAGAAAAAGGTTTTTTTAGATATTATTGTATGTATGTGTAAATTTAAGACCCATTGACCCTTAAATTTAATCTTTAATTGACATAGTCAAAGGTCGAGTGCTATGACTAAAAGAATTTTTGGGTTTAAATTTTATTTTTAGTATATTAATTCTGAATTGCTGATTATTTTGGAAATTTTTTAAAGTTTATAAGGTCAATTCATAATATTTAGAAGTTTTATGCCATTAACGTGAAATATAGATTAATCAAGGACTGCAACACTAATTTTACTCTTTGACTTAAATTTAAAAAAATGAATTTGGTTAGTGGCACAACTCGGACCCATGCTTAAGGAAATTTAGACGTGTGATCAACCATTGAGCCAACTACAATTTTAATTAAATACTAATAATTACTTAACAACCCTATAACAACTGGTTAGGTTTTCAAAGAGAAAATTCTAGGCATCGTTCGCTTATCAGCA